ATCGTCGATCGCTACTCCGTTTACGACACCTCCCGAACCATCGTGTTCCTTGTGCCGTTCCGAGTCCGCCGGTGTCATCCTCGATCTCCGTTGATGACGGCGCGTGGGGAGGTGGATCAGTCAAAGATTCGGCCGAGTCGAAATCGAGCTCTCCGCCGTTCAAAAATTTGAACCGATCTTAGTAAGTATCTCGAAATCGCTCAAAATAATTTTTAGAAAATTTTCTGTGATTTTTAGAGCCCCGGAGGACGTCGCACGCGCCGCACGCGCCGCCGTAGGCGAGTAAACGCTGGAAACTGGTTTTGACCGGTTTAACCGGTTTTGAACTGGTTTTGACCGGTCACGACCCGACCCGTTGACCCGACCCTACCCGTTGACCCGACCCGTTGATCGGTGCTATTCTGGGAATTAATTTGGTTTTGGTGCTATTTTGGGAATTAATTCGAAAAGGGTGCTATATTGGTAATTATTTTAAAAAGGGTGCTATTTGTGTAAAATGTTTGACAGTTTGTTGACCGCCTTTGACCATAACTTTGACCGGCTTTGACCGGCTATTAAACGACCTTTGTTTTCGACCAAAAATACCTATCCTGATAGTTTTCGATGTCCCGAATCTATTTTTGGGGTCCGTTTTACTAAATTCAAACCCGAAAGTCTCCAAATCATCAGTCAAACCCGTTGACTTTATTTTTGACCAAGAATTCAAAATTTCGGAAGGTCATACTTTATGTTTTTCGACGTCTTGAATTTGATTCCGAAGTCCGTTTTGCCAAATTCTGACCCGAAATTGCCGAATCAAACTTGTAAACCCAAAAGGCTTAATATTTTAATATTTTGATTATTTAATTGAGATTTGGTCAAGGATTTATTCAATAAAATATTTTATGAAGGTACTCGTGTTTCACCTGAGCAAGGATCAATTAGGTCCGGTATTATCCGTTCGTTAGATCAGCCTGAACCGCGTACTACGAGAATTACCCGTAGGTTTCCGTATATTATGTAAATAATATTTAGATTATTTATATTAGGATTCCAATATGGATTTTTCCAATTCGTAGGGTCTAGCGCTGCAGCAGAACGTGATCGACATACCCAGTAATAGGCTTCCCTATCTGATTTCCCAGACTGTTACAGGTGTGTTTCCTAACAGTATTATATTACTGATTTAAATAATTTATCTGAATACCGAGTATTTGATATTTGATTTGCTGTATATTCTGATATAATTTCTGAATTAAGGTATTTCATACCGATTTCTGAGATCTGTTTATCTGATATCTGAATTATTGATTTGAATTCTGATTTCCGTATTTCTGCATATGGTTTCTAAGTATGAAATATTTGTTATGTTTTAAGTGATTAATCATTGTTTTTAATTGAATACATTCATTGTCATTTGGGGGGGTATTGTTGAAGGAAGATTATCTGCAGACTTCTCGGCTTTGTGCTCAGGGTCTAAATGGCATGTGCGGTTGGGTGTATGGTTCTGGGGAACCTACACAACTATGATGTGAACGGATGGGGGTAGTGTTCATGTTTTAAAAAAAAAAACATATTGCATAAACCGATTTCATTGAAAGATTTTATCTGTATATTTTTCTTATATACTGTATGGAGCACACTGAGCTTTTTTAGCTCATTCTGTAGTTTTTACCCTTTTTCAGATAGTAGCAGACAGTAAGCTAGCAGATTTGGCATCAGTGGAAATCAACTACTTATTTTGCACGAACATATATTTCTATATGTTTTTCAGTTATGTTTGGTGACATGTATTTGCTAAAATTTTAGACATATCTGTATTATTAATATAATGTATTGTAAGATATTAAAAAAAACCTCTGAATGGGATATGTGACCACTTAGGTTTGAGTCTAACTCACAGACCGGGTCTAGGGGGTTACACCTCACATCATCAACGTTCAACTCTGGAGATTGCAATGTATTTACTAATTCATTAAAAAGCCCCAATCCAGATGTATCATCCACTTTCAAGAACTCTAAAAGGTATTCTTATATTTTTACTTTGTTGTTTGACATATTTACGCATCGCACTATTAGAGTCATTTGTTCATGATGACTTACATCAGGGGTACAATCAAGAATAACAGAGAAATACTTTGCCTTATGGATGATCTTTAGAATAAAAGTTCTAATACTATGGGCCAAGAGAGAGATTAGTTCATTTTGAATTTTATGACCAAGATAATGATAATGAATATTTTCATTTTGAATACGTCTAATATGGTCTTACTTAGGCAAATCAAATTCAACAATCATTTCAATTAATCCTAAAAAGTTTCCATTATTCTCATCGTAAATTTTCTCACTAGATCCTCGAAACGCTAAATTATTTTTAGCAAGACATTTTACAACACAAACTATTCTTATTAAAATTTGCCTCCAACGTTCTTTCTCTTTTGAAATTCCTTGTTGTAAATCTTTATCAAGTGTTTGATTAGTTTTTAACCTCACTCTTAATTCACTCCAAATATTCATGTTAGTCGTATGCTCAATACTATTTTCATGTTGTTTGAGTCTCTCATAAGATGCTTCCAATCATTTAATCCATCATTTGCTAAATAAATCTTATTGTTTTGCTTTGTAAACAATTTACAACAAAAACAATAAACTTTGTCCACATGTTTAGAGTAGACCAGCCATTTTCTATCGCTAATCTCTCCATTACTCAAGTTTCTAGAAAAATAAGCATATGAAAAATGCATAGAATTATTGGCTAAGGGAAATTTCAAATTCAATTCTCTTATAGGTCCCTTTTCAACTAAAATATCTCTAGATTTATTATCAAGATTACCCCAATTTCTAGGATCATAAATGTCCACAGTAGGGACTAAGTGTTGATCAATCCCAACATCTTCAACATTAAACTCATTTTGTGCATGATTATGGACATTTAAATTAGAAATGTCACCATCTATATGATTTAGGATATCATGGTAATTTGCATCAGTAACACCTAGATTCGTACAATTTGAAGAAATATTAAGATTATTTAAATTTCCAACAATATCATTTATTTTTTTATTATAAGGCTCTCCTACTCCACTTTTAAAGAATTTATCAAGAGCTCATTTTTGTGATTCTATTAAATCATCTCTTTGTTTTATTTTCTTTTTTTCACTACCAGACAAATGTTTTTAGGCAACATTATATTACAATGCAACTAATGTAGAAAAAAACAATAACACCTGTAAATGTGAATATCCTCGATCGAAGTATTTATACGCCAAATTCGTAATACCGTAATGATTGAATTTAGAAGGAAGATGAAGTTCATATCCAAAATTTATGAAACAAAAAAAGAGAGAATAAGTTTATCTAGAATTTAGAAATATATAAAAAGAAAAAGAATTTGGAGACATGAACTTACTTAGGATTTTAAAAATATCTTCAGTGACCACAAGTGATGATGAGTGATTGTGATTTTGTGTTTGTGAATTGTGAGAAATATGAGAAATTGAAAATTGAGAACAATAAGAAATAAATTAATTTTACTTCAATGTTCTCCTCTCATTTATAGGGAATAAAAGGTAACTCTTGATAAATATTATGAATTTGAATGTTAGTAAGATTTTTTTTTTTGGACTTTTGATAACAAATAATAGTTTTTAACGTTATTTGTGTCCTCTTGCATTAATGTAAGAAAATAGTGCATTAATATTTGTGGGCCTTGGGTTGCAATACTTTTAATTTAGTTTTACTCTTAATAATAATATAATAAAAAATGGAGAGTGCATTATATGAAGGTGAATTAATTAATAGTTTATTAAAGTAGGGTATATTAATATAAATTATAATTATGGGCCCTTAGCGGGTGCCCGTCTTGCCCCGGCCCAAGGCCGACCCTGGGTGGAAGGCTTTGGCTTCCACTGGAAAAGCAAAGGACGGGGCCTGGAACCAGACCGAGAGGGAGCTTAAGATAGGGATGAAAACGACGAGGATGGCAAACGTTAGATAGGATATGAATTTGCCTATATATGTGGAGTGATCTACCGCCCACCACCGGAGGCTTATTCTGAAGCTGCACAACTCGTCACACAGCAACGACGTTGATCTTGCATATGATCGTTGGAGTAGCAAGGGTTGTTTGAAATTGTCGATATCGTCGCCTCCATGGCCGACATCGGACTTGTAGTCGTTCATGATGCCCCCACGGTTGGATTTGGAAGAAGGATGTTCAATTTCGTTGAGCTAATTTACTAGCAATTTTTTTCTTTCTTTTTTGTTCATTTATTTTCACTCGGGGATTAGTTATATTATAGATGTTAACATGGACGCTGGGGTGAGGTCAACGGAGCCTGTGATGAAAGGCCCTTTTTGGTTATGAAGAAAGCAATTTGTTTAAAATTTGCATTAACCTTTTAAATGGCCCTTGGTAAGGCTGATAATACACGTGAAAGATAGGAAAAAAGGCTCATGGGGTGAAGCCTCGAGGAGAAATGAAGTTATAAGCTTCGATACGACATACCCACACCAGCTGGACCGATTCCTTACCGCAATTTTATTTTATGTGCTATCTATGCAGCCACCTTTCATCTAAACCTGTCTAAAATTCATTAATTTTTTCTTGGTTGATGGTTGAATTGTGGTCATTAAGATGCTCGTCTTGATGGTTGAAATTAAAAAAAAATCATTAAAATCTCTATCATTAAGAAAAAAATTTAATTTGATCATCAATAGTTAAATAACGAAAATTAACATATCATGTTCATATGTCACTTTTTTAATAGATTATATTTTTAATTTTCTGACTGCCGGAAGTCTTCTACGGAAATTGCTCTCAACCTGGCGTTGGGGTCAGCCTACTACCCTACCTCCCCTTATCCCATTGCATATGGGAATCAGGGTTTTGTTATTGTTGTTGTTGTATATTGGTAAAAAAAATTAAATCAATACTTGTTATCATCTTTTAATAAAAAATTAAGGGAATACATGAGACTGAAAATGGATTGAACCGGGGACCTTTAAGGGGTGTGTGCAGCACCCAACAAATCATATCAATCATCTATATCAACATGTGTATTAATCATAAGTTCCTAGTAAGACATCTCAATGTTTTTGTCAAACAAAAGAACCAAAACCACTGCAAAAAACCCAGAGATCAAAAGTTCCCATACATTACCTACAGCCTACAGGCCAAAAATGAGATCAAAAGAGAGAACACCTTAATAAATTTCATTGCCCCGTGTGGGTATGCATTTTATGCAACCGGAGCTCCCGACAGTAACTTTTGGGCCACTTCCTCGATCTCGGAACTAGTCCTCACAAGGCCGTAATTTGTGAGTGCACCCTCATCCATGTTATCACTGGAATTTCCTACTGCATCGTCAGCTCCTTTTGGGTTCAAGAGGTTAGTCGGAAGGGAGCTAGATCTACAAATTTGCTTCACCGGTTGTTTTGGCTTATTGAGGGCACGACAGTGTGGGCAGTAATACGTTATATAAGGGAAATCCTCCTTCTTGGCAAGTCCTGAACAAACACCCAAAAAAAATACAGTTAGAAGTTCAATATTGCTCTGGAAGAGCACTAGGACTATCCAGTTTATATGCGTGCAATTGTGTTGAATCAATAATTGATAATATAACAGAAACGAAACACCACTAACCGTTGTGCATGCAGCAATTGCCACATATAAGTGCATATGATTGTGTTGGATCTTCCCCCACAAGCAAGGCCGCTAAACGAGCTAGCCATCCCCCATCCTGAACAGGTCCCTGTGGAGACTGATGATTAACGACTACTTGACCTTGCTCAGATGCCCAAGGAGCCTCATTCCCTGCAGGAGAATGAGGTGTTGATTCATCATCAGAATGAACCAAAGGACTGCATACCGTACTGTGGGGTCTGATTTGCTTTCTTTTTCGAAGTCCACTTGATGGTACTACCTCAATATTGTTACTCCTACCACCTAGGACATTAGGCTTAGATTCATCTTCAACATAGAATTTCAGACCCGAATCTGCACCCAACTTAGATGCAAGGACAGTTGCAGCAGCAGCCTTTGCTGCTGGATCTGGATCATATCTCTGCAACAAAGTGATTTGAAATATATCATGCATTCAAAGATATACTCAATCATCTGGCTCATGAGCAAACAAGTTTTCCATTTTTTTATTCCAGATTGAGAAAATAGAAAAAACGAAATCTGTATCTATTGCTTGACATTCTATTTGATGACATAATATCTAAAAAAAAACCTTTTCCTATTATTTACTTGTGTCAACCTTTTGAAGATGATCATTCAAAGCATCTACACCTTCCTGCAATGTTCTGTGCATTGAATATAAGCAATAAATTGTCTCATTCTGCAAGCAAAGCCGGTAATAGTTTCTTTCCCTAATTATTCAAAATAATACAAGGCTCCAAATAATACCTTTGAGGCTTTAACCTAGTTAAATAACTCTTCTAACATTTCAAAAGGTGGGCTACACTAGGAATTTAGGAAATAGTTTTTGCATCAATAAGTACCTGGGAGGTTTTACCTCATGCTTTCTGTTGCACAATAAATTATAATAGCAGAAGAAAATTCACTGAAAATTCAGCCTCAGGACTTAAAGGTCATTCCATGAAGCCAATTACTAGTTTTCTAAACTACCTGAATAAGCTGTTGCGTAATGTAATAATTTGTCTTCTCCTTAAGTTCATCAATTTTTGCTTGCCTTTCAGCACGAAGTCTTTCTAGAGTTTTCCTGTCCCTCTCATCACCTATAAGATAAATCACAAATTAACAAAAATGATCATATGTTAGGAAACTTCAAACGGTTTGGAGCTTATTATATCAATATCATAATATATTCATGATACAGTACCATCCACACAGCTTAACTTCAGGGTACATAATTCTTTTAGAAAAATGCAATCCAATGTAAAGAAGTAAGCAAAAGACTGGAAAGTATTTTGAATAGCAATAAGTATGGAAAGGCCATTATGCTGTTTGCACTTCAATAAGAGAGAGCTTTGCCTAACCTGACAAGCTCGACAACAGAATTAAGAACTGTCCAATCACCTAAAGAGAGCATGTGAGAGACATTGACCATCAAAAGATGGATAAAATAATGAAGGTTTCATTCTGAAACGATGACTTACACTGGTGAAACAATAAATCAAGGCTAGAAATTCAAACACACAAATCACATGGAAATGCTACTAAATATTATGCTACTTAATTATAATGTTATTTGGTTCTGATCAAATCAAACTAAAAATGATGTTAATGTTCAATACAATACACTTTTCCTTTGGGTCTTTCCTCTGTTTAATAATTATAATAACTAACAAACAAAAGGTTAAAGAACAGGGGAAATTGGTCTGGAAAATATTCGAAGAGCAAAAGAACAGAATGAAAAAAGTACAAGAGTAGTTGGATGATAAGAAAGTAACAAAGCTATAAAAGGGATAGGAAACATTCATCCAATTATTTGTTCTATACAAGTTAACATTATATATCAATCAGAAAACATTTTGATTTTATGGTTTCAAATTGCCAATCGAATCAATCCCGTTAATTTCCTCAAATCATATCTATGGTTGAACCAACATGTCTAGTTAGGAACACAATTTGTACTAACAAGTAACAACTTTAGGCTTTTTAAGTTCTCTCAGATATAACTCACTAATCATTTTTGAAAGAAGTTGAAACCCCCGGAGGCAAGCCTCATGCATCAATTAACATGATGCAAATATAATAAGATAAAAACAAGTTACAATATTTATAAACAAGAATTAAAGCCATTACCATCAGCTAGTATAAAGCACAAGAACAGAAAAATATTGCTAACTATCACATTAGGGAATTCATAAGGATATTTGAGCACGCAACTATCTAGAAGGTTAGAACTTCTCTGGTCTAAGTAATATACCCGTGCATAATATCCTACACAGTATTATCGGCAATGCTATAATCTAATACACAAAACCTTAATTCACATTATTGTATCAGCCATGCTATGTAACAAATCAGTAGCAAGTTTCAATACCCTTTTATTTCTCGTGTGTGGGGGGGGGGAGTCCTTGTATTTTCTAATCGGAGCATAAAGTTAATGCATGCTCACAAGGTTGTAAATATACCATTTAACAACATAAACAACAGAAAATAGACAAAACTAGTCCAGACATTTAACTACAAAATGGAATTCTATAAGACATTGAGCTGAGTTACTTACGAATCTTTGTGATGCTTGCAAATGTAGAGTAAACGATGGAAGAAACAGCAGGCAAAAGGAACATTGGCAAAACCCTTAATGCCCTCTTCTTCCAATTTAAATCCATGGATCTTGTTGTCATGGTGGCATAAGCAACCACGATAACCTGTAAATTGACAAAAAAATCCTCATTTAGGGCATCCAGAAGGAAGTTCTTTGAAACGGTAGACAGATATTAATAGTTTTTCACAATTTTCCTCTCTTTTACACCCCTTAAGGGGGCATTTAGGCAGCACTTGTAATAGAGAACCAAAACCTGCATCTATTGGATTCAAATGTAAATATCATATGCATAAACCATATATGGATGGGGAAACCCCCAAAGTTAACAAGTTAGCTAATATAAAATGTTGGATGCAGAGTGAAGAAAATCACCAATTATATCTTTCATGAGAACTTCCAATAGAAAACCAAAATCTGCATCAACTTCTTTTCTGGAAAGAAGTTGATAGAACAGCGACTGGATTCAAATGTAAACAGAGTATAAATAAACCATGTATGGATGGGGGGAAAACAAAATCAACAAGCTAGGTATATAAAATACAGGATGCAGAGTGAGAAGAAAATCACCAATGAAATCTTTCATGAGCTTTTTCATATACAAGATATATATAGTAGACAAGTGCCAAATTAAATATAACGAGAAAGTTGCATATGATTACTGAGACAATTACTAATAGCAGCAGTGTGTGAGAAACGTTGAGCAATGAATTGTAGATAATAGAGAGAAGGTGATGAGATGATGAGTACCTCCAAAACGACGGAAAATACAATGAGATGCCTAACTATTCCCCTCCAAACCTGGGATCTTCTATTCATTCGCGCGAGAACAGCAGTCTCTTCCTTGGTAATATGTTTAAGCCTCTTCTCAAAATTGTCCCTGTCGTTTCTGAAGATTGCGCTCCAAACGCGGGAGAGGACTCCCTTGGGCTTCTTCCTGACTGCCGGTGCCGGGGGACTGGATTCTTTGCTTTTTTCACCGTCGGAAATGCTTTTGTCCTCCGCCATCGCTTGCTGTCGCATTTTCAAAAACAAATCACATTAAATTTATTGTCATAACCAAATCGACCATTTCATGCAAATAATTGACGTTAAATCATAATAAGAATTTGGAGGATCATTTGCTTTTTTTTTTTTTTAATTCAAGAAGCATGAACAATAAAATAAGGAAGAAATACCTGTAATTCTCCTCTCCTCTCCTCTCCTTTTTTCGTATTAATTTTTTAATATAGTAATTGATATAAAAGTTGTAGATCTGGTTGTCCTCTTCTCCTACCCCTTCTACCTATTCTTATTCGTCGCCCTCAACTGATTTTAAATCCATATATTATTCCTTTTTTTTACAAACTGATATAATTACAATCTGATTCTTTCATTTTCTTTACAATCTTTATATATAAGGAAAATAGATTCCTTTTTCTTAAAATAAAAAAAATCCAACAATATCTTAATAATTATCAACCCTTATAAATGATTAACTAACAAATATATTATAAAAGTATTCTTATCCTTTTCATTCTTACATAATTATTAAATAAAATAGTTATTTACAATAGATTATTAAAGAAAATGAAAAGAAAAAATGTTTTTGTCAACACACATTTTTCGTCCTACTAGGATTCAAACTCCTAAAAATAGGATAGAATTTTAGGATTCAAACTCCTAAAAATAGGATAACATTTTGCTAGGATTCAAACTCCTAAAAATAGGATAGAGTTCTACTAAGATTTAAATTCCTAAAGATAGGATCCACAAGCACTATAAATAGCCATTGTAGCTCACTATTGTAACACACGATGGGCATACGAAATTACCAGAAAAAAAATACGAGCAAATAGATTGTTTTGAAGTTATTGTAAACAATTCAGGAGCAATAAAAGGTGAAAGCTTTTACCTTTCGCATTCTTTTCTTCACTTGCATGTGTTGTTATTCGTCTTTGTGCTTGAAAAAAATAGTTTTGGCCGAGGAAAAGGGGTTGTCGTTCGAAACTTTTCTTTTAGATCTACACAACCCCGAGACCGTTTTGGAAAAATACTAGAATATTTAAAACGAGGGAAGAAAGGCTTTTAAAAATTAATTTTTTTTCGAGGTTTGCCGCCGATGAACGGTCACTTATGTATATTTTCATATTTTTATTTATTTCTTTTTGATAATTCGTATTATTAAGTATATATATATTATTTTTATTCTAATATTATTTTAATGTTTTTTAAATTTATTATATATATATATATATTTATAACTATTTATTTATTATTATTTTACTATTAACATATATAAATATATTTTCTCTTTTGCTACTATTATTATCATTATATGTATTTTTATTATATTTTATATTTTATTTTACTTTTTTTTAAACATATGCATATATATACATTTAATTATATTTTTATATTTTATACTTATTTATTTTTTTGTTTTCATGTATTTATATTATATTACATTATTATTATTTTACTTTATTAAATTATTTTTTTTCGTTATTATATTTATTATATATATATATATATATTATATCATAATATTTTTTGTTTATTCATTCTTACTATATTATAGGGATACATCACACTCATTTATTAACTATGGTCCTACCCCTTATCGTATTTTTTCTTCCCGACAGTTATACTTCACCAAACCTTGACTTTCTTTTTTTACTTTCTTTTGGTGTGATTGCGTTTTTTTATTTTACTACTTATTATCATTATTATTATTTTGTACTTAATAATTATATATTTTTATTCCTCTTTTAGTTTTTCATCATTTTTTTTATTTTTTCCCTTCTATTTCTTTATTTCATTTACTCTTATTTCCTTTTTCCTTTAACGCGTTTCTCGACTTTTTAAGGGTACTCTTTCAAATTGATCGGAGGTAAGTAATTTTGGATCATATGTTACCTTTAAATTTTAACTTTCGATTTTCTTAATTAAAAACAACTGGAAATTACGTAGTACCGAAAGGGCGGTTCAAGGGTGCTAATCCTTCCTTGACCGTAACCGACTCCCGAATCCGACATATCTTTGGTAAGACGCAGATCAGATAAGATATAAGGTATCTGATTAACCTATTTTTTTTAAAATAAATAATCGGTGGCGACTCCAATCACATTTTTCAAGTCGAAGCCCAATTTCGTGGCCCAACCGAAAGACGGTTACGACAGCTTGACGACTCCGCTGGGGACACAGGTAAGTGAGTCAAGCTAAGGTAATTTCCAGTTGTCTTTTTAATGAAAAGGGTAAGTTTAAATTTTAAGGTAACATTTCGATCCTTATTACTTACTTTTGATTATATTTTCGAGTAATTAGTTGTACTAACCGTTTTCTCAATGATTTCAGCCCTTAAAGTCTTTTTTCATCTAAGGCTCTAAACCCGAGCTCCGAACCCGTTTTAAGTGGGGGTGAAAGCGACGCATTCGTGTGAATTTATTCACCGCATATGCCTAGCAAGTAGCCTTCGGGATTCATATACCTTATGTCTCCGTGTGAATTTATTCTCCGCATAGACATAAGGGAATGTGTCCTCTCGAGTTTAACTTAGTCCACACAAACCTGTGATGGGTTTAGGACTAAGGGTCTGGCAAGCCCAAAGGGGCACCAACAAGGAGAACTCGGGTACCGTTTTTTTAGAACCTAAACCGGGAGACTATGGAGAATTAGAGCCCACCCCAAAACCTCACTTCAAACCCTAGGCTGTTATATTTCCTGCCTTACTTTCTGTTCAAAGCATGCGAACTAGACAAATATGCGATTAGGATTTGTTTGAGATTAGCATGTGGGATAGAGATCATGTCCGGGTAGGAATAATAAGCATATGGGGTAGATATCATGTGGGGTAGGATTTTTCATTTTCATGATCGTTTTTTATTATTTTTCACCTCACTAACTCTTTTCATCTTTTTTTCTTTTCTTTTATTTTCATCACTTGCATCATTTAAAAGAGGTATTGATCCACTAAAACGTGTTTGTTAAAACTCGAATAATCTGAATCCATGGACAAAGGTGTTGTAATACAAGAGATTAAAAACCCCGAGGTACGACTATGGTCCGAGAAGACTCAGAAGGAAAAGGGAGACAATCTTCAAGGAAACTATGTGTCAGAGCTGGTTAGTTACGCCTCTATCAGCCTAAAACAGAACAATGTGCAAGAACTTCGAGACATCTGGGACAGTTGGAAGAATGATGGGAAACAGAAGTTCAGTCAGTGGTATGGTGACATTGCACTTTTACTTCATGTTAAGACCGATGAGCCCTTAATCAGAGCCTTGGTTCAATTCTGGAACCCGGGATACAGTTGCTTTACTTTTAACCAGGAGGACATGATACCTACCATCGAGGAGTATACTACACTATTGCACTGTGAAAGCATTAAACTGGAGCGAGCTTACGTCAAACACATCAAGAGTCAGCCTTTCAAGAACGGACTGACTAAGATTGCAGGAGTTGATGAAAAGTGGGCGACTGACCGACTCCAACACAAAGGTAACGGGCAAGGAATTGAGTGGATCCACATAAGGCAACTAATGAAGGACCACCCTGATGAATGGAAGATTATAGACCTTTTTGCACTAGGTCTGTATGGCTTGATCATCTTTCCGAAGGTTTTGGGATGCATTGACGCAGCTGTAGTAGAATTGTTTAAGCAACTTCCGAAACGAGTCAACCCAGCACCGACCATCCTAGCCGAGACCTTTCGGTCTCTCAACCATTGCTGAAGAGCTGGCGGAGGTAGATTCATTGGATGTGTTCAGATCCTTCAAGTCTGGATACACAGCCACTTTTGGAAGACTAACGGGGTTGCTTACCGCCGATTTAACACTACATATTCTCCTTTGGGAGAGTTCATCACCATGAAATGGCATGAAGGCGCTTCAAAAGAGAAGTGGACGAAAGTGTTCACTCATCTTCAGGACCGAGATATTGTCTGGAGAGCCCCTTGGTTGTTCCTCAGTGACGTTCTTTTCCGATGTAGGGACTCTGACACTATGACCTTACTTGGACTTTGGGGTGCAGTTGGGTATGCTCCATTGTTAGCACTTAGACAGTATGTGGCACGTCAGTTTGTCCCAGTAACATGCGGACTAGCTAGATCAGAGTTTGTGTACCATGGTGACAACTATAAGAATATGATCAAGGAAGCAGTCGGGTCATGGAAGAAAGTATTCCGGATGGATGTGGTAGCTGCCAGAAACATGCTTACTCCGGACTATGTGGAGTGGCGAAGATTGAGAAAGAATGATAACATCCCGGTGTCGGACTGTGAGGACACACGGACCATGGAAGAACATCTCAAGCATGTCCCTTCTGAACTTGAGATAGTTAAGGCAAAGTTTGAAGCTGTGAATAACGAGCTGAAGGAAAGAGTTAAGGAACTCGAAGCTGAACGTTATCAATGGAAGCTAGATGCCAACTCTCAGAAAGATAGAGCAGACAAACTTGAAAAAGAACAGGAAAAAGTCCGTTTTGAGCTCGAAGACTTGATAAATGGGTATCAAGATAAAGTCAAGGATAACTCCAAGTTAAAAGTGGCTTCTGAGTACTGGAAATATGAAGCTCACAACTTGAAAAGAAAGTTCGAGGGGCCTGATGAGAGAGCTTGGAAGGAACATATGAAGACTGCCCAGAGGCGCTTAGCAGATAATCAGCATCAAAACCAACGCTTAAGAATCCAGATGGCTGATCTGGAAAAGCAGCATGAGCGAGATGAAAAAACCATAGCTGAGTTAGAAGTTGTTGTAGATGGGTTCAAAAAGCAAGAGAGTGAGCTTCAGATAATGCCCTTCGACGAGGGTTTACAGTGGCGCTACCGTTGGGAGCAATCACAACAAATGGTGAAGGCTAGAGACGCGGTCATCCGAGACTTCCTGGATCAAGTACATAAGGCAGTCCGTCATCTTCAGGGCCTGGCAAGGGAAGCTGGAGTGGTCCGACAAGGCATACAACCAGTGACAGATGAAGACAGAAGACTTGTCAACCTACTAGAAGCTGTTCGGGGTCTAGAGGATTTAGTCCGAATGTACCTTTGATTATTTTTACGTCTCTTACA